TGCATTTATGATCTTTGGGCATTTCGCATTGTTGATGGTTGATGATGTGAAATCTATGGCAGTTTGCTGCTTATCATTCTAAATTAGTTTTTCAATTACCCTAGAAGTTAGAGGAGGCAAGGCTGATGAGATATAGAAGAGTGGTATGACTTCATGTCTTTAGCCGAATTTTTTCTGTATTGAGAGCAAAAAAAATGTTGGATTTTCCCGTGTATGTTGTCTTCTATATATTTCTTAATGATGTTGAGTAACTGCCTATGGTGATATACGAGCATCTTTACCTAAAACACATAATTCAATGTTTAACACTTAAGAGAGACCGCGCAGTCATCATCACGTAGACTACTAACAAATTTGACAATTCATAAAAATTCTACATTTTAGCCCGTTGGTATCCAATCTTAAGGTCCACCTCAGACCGCTCCAAAGAGTCAAATAAGCTTAATTATGAAGTCTTTAATTGTTAGGTGAGCTCGAACCACTAAACTCAGCTAGTCCAAATTGACTAATGGTCATCGTTAACAGAATACATCATCATGAGTAAACTAAAGTAATGTTTCTTGATGATGCCAGCGTCTTCCATGGTAGCCAATCAGAGACGGGAAGTTGTCACCTTGACATCAACATGGCCATGCACGGAGAAGCTGTAATTGACTACGTTACATGTAATGATGACCTAGATCACAGGCTATGATCTAAATGTGATGATAATTTGACCTGGACAAGCTCCTCAACCAATCAAATCTCTGCAAGCATGATCAACGACACATTGAATTGAGGTCAAGCATTGTGGCTTGACAAGATAGGGACGATAAGCTCCTACTGTAAGGTCTATATAAAGGGGCAAAGGCCCTCAATGAAAGGCAGAGCTATGCATTTTCTTTGTAATATCGTACAAAGCACTACATAATGAAAATTGCTCTTTTCTTCATAATATTCTAGCAATTGAGCATTGTTGTTTGACTAAATTTTTCTTAAGTGTATCTATAATTGTCAAGTCAATTTTAGTTATCAACACAGTCTATAACGTAGAATTCTATGTTTTACACTTGGGAGAAATCATATAGTCATTCTTACGTAGCTAACTATCAAATTCAACTAATTCTAACAATCTACATTTTAATCTATTTTTAAAACATAGAATTCAATGTTTAACATTTAGGAGAAACGATGTAATTATCATAAACCACTTATTTTTCCCTCATTTTTCAATTTTTCATGAGTGCAATAGCATTAACCACTTGCCAATTATATTCTTATCCATAGGGTATCCATTAAAAATCTTGTCTTGGAATGAATTAGGCAGTATAGAGATTTGTGCACCAAGAAATGTACTATGAAATCTACACCGCGGGTTTGTCTATACGTACATAATTCATTGTACATAATGGTGTACACACCCTCACATGGAGGGGAACCCAATTCGGACATATTATACTTTATCCGAAGTGGGTCCCCCTCCACGTGAAGGTGTGGATACCATTATATACAATGAAATATGTACAAGTAACATAATTCTTACAAAAAATATGAAAATCCAACCACATTTCTTGACTTTACTCCCAAATTTGACTACAATTCAGAATACCCCTAAGAATATTTCATATATGAAAACTTGTATTCACTTAGGAATAATTAGGAAATTTACAAACTGCATCCTGAATATAGGGTGTAAATATATAGTCAGTATATCTAACACTATAAATTTACATTTTATAATGGTTAAAAAAAACATTAATTGCCGAAAATTTTACAAATATACCTCAATTGAAATAGAAGTTCACACCCTCTTTAAATATTTTTTTCTTTAACGAATGATTTTTCGTTTGTGAGATTTATAAAAAAAAATTCTTAAATTCTAAGATCAAATCAAAACAATATTTTTATTAATTTAGTAAATGGTAAAAAATATAGAAAATATTTCACCTTACTCATCCAACCTTGTAAAAAAATAAAAATTCTTAATTTTTATCTTCTAATTGGTATTTTTAATGAATAAAAAATTAAACAAAAATAAATTTAAATATTTTTTATATAATTTGTAAATTTGTAGCCCAAGATTTCAGCCGAAAAGCCTACTCACTCGTTGAGCATCTACAAAGTAGATTATGCTCGAATCGACTAAGAACCACAAAGAACAGTACAAAATGTGTGAAGATTAAGTTTTCTTTCGCTTCTCTCACACAAAATCCTATTCTCACAATCTCTAAATTGTACACCAAATACAATTTAACAATACCACTAGGATACTACAGATATCAAAACCAGAAAATCACAAAGAAGATGAAAAGATCTAAACACTCAAAGAGAAGACGAAGAAAACCTTGGAATATATACCCATTACTGTACAATGAAGAGTCGAGAAGGGAGTTATAAAAACCACCCATAAAGCATTTCATCCAACGGTCATGAGTATGTCATATGTAAGACCAACATCAATCAATCCATTTAAAGAGGCAAACAACCCGATAGCCCAAAACACAGCAAAGCCCAATGACAAATGAAGAGGTCCAATACCAGAATAGAGAGACAGTCCACAACAAAATCAATATTCCATAAAATTGTTGTCTATCTCTAATAAATATGGTAATTCATTGCGTAACATTATTCCATTAACGTAGAAGAACGTTGGGTTTTGTTTCGGAGAACGACTTTATACATATTGGTATTCAAAAAAAAAAAAGTATTATGTTTATATTCTTGAATAAGTATATTGTATACAAATACGTATTTCAATATCCCTAAAGAATATGACACTGTAATGAAGGAACACAATATACATATCTAAAGAACTTAGAAGAATTTAAATATATAATTAAGTTATGTGACCATCTAATTCTTTTTCAAGTTATCATTTGTATGCAAACCCCGAGCGTATCTGTTTTTAATTTTGGTTTCCCGAAGAAATTTTTTTATAATTATAGTAATATTTTCGAATAATATTAAGTTGTAGTTTTTAATATTAAGTGTGTGTGTAATTATATATATATATACACACACACACACACACTAGGTGCAATGCACGTTTGCTTAGTTTATATTTAATATTTTTGTAAAATAATTAATTTGTTATTAATAAAGATGTGGTTTTTTGGTTAATTAAGGACGTGTCTGGGCGCGCTGTA